CGCTGTTACGTCGTACGCCACCAGCTCCTTTACATCTGAAATGAAAGAAAACATTAACATTTCAACATTATAAGCAAAACACACCGTTACATGCGGTATCGCAAATAATGACACGAATACTGAATAAATATATAAATTGTGAAGAGACGACACTACGAATATGATATGAAATCAATATTGTTTTCTTTCAATTTCGTAACCCATTGATTTCGCGTATGAAAGACTCATTACCGGGTTTGGAATCAATGCCGCAAATGGAGTCAATTACGTCGAGTTTCGTCGTGTCGAAGCCGCGGCTGCCTCCGATCTGCAATTGATCTCGCGGGCTCCTCGTATCGCACTGAAAATAAACCAATCGCATCGCAATAAATTATTATTACGTCGAAAAGAGAGAGAAGTAGTTACGTGAAATAACATGGCTTTATACGTATATACGAAAATGTTTTTAACTTTAACCTTAATCCATTGTTGTCAACCTTTCATGAATAGAAATTTTTTAAATAAAGATTGAATTCAGAATTTTTATTTGGCGGAAGGGGAGGAGGGGTTTATCAATTCTGTTAACATAAATAACAGCAATTTTTTGCATTAGTGAATTGCTTTTTTGGATATTTTAAAGCTTAAAATATATCTTCGTTTCTGATTTTTGAATGAGAAAAATATTACATTTTGTAAATCGTAATTTTAACTTGAACTTCTTTTTTTTTAATTCGGAGAGGGATTTAAGCTTTCCAAAGCCTTTTCCCCTCCTTCCCCGGATACGGTCATGAATTAGATTAGATTTTTAATAAAAGAAGGAATTGCTGATCCCAAATAGACTGGCTGAGATTTGAAATCGTGACTTTTTAATCCGAATTATAAATAAATAAATAAGTAAATGAATTATTCTTGTGCAATCGACAAGTTTGTGTTAATTTTGCAATGTGTTATAAATAAGATATTGCAAGCGCAAGAGGACAGGGATTGTGGATCGCAATTAAAAAGAAAAAAATGTCACGACGTACTTTGTGTAAAATGCCGGTTTCGGTCGTGCGAACGACGCCATGCGAGCTGCTACCGCCGATTCCGAGGGCGATTATTCGTACGGCACCGGGATACACCGCCATGAGAGTGCAATTAATCCGCCTGCCGTAATTGCGAAGTGTGAATGGATCCGTCGTGCTGACCGACAAGACGTTGCAGGCTAAAAAAAAAAATAAGATACGCAGAAGAACGCGTTATCTTTGATTGCTTCAATTACAGTCAGCTGAGAATGCCCTGTATTTGCCTTGAAGAAGAAAATATTTAATCGACGAACATACAATACTCTCACTTCTGCCCGTATGTGTTAGGCTCGTTAGTCGCTCGTTCCTCTATCTAAATGTTTGCTCGCAGAAATAAACTGGTTCGCGGAAAAGTACAGCTCGCCAAGCCGCGCAATACTTTTCCGTGCCATTCCTCTTTATCGTTACTTAAAAAGGGAGTACGGTGCATCCCAGTTTCTAGAATTACTCTCTATGTTTCAGGCCTGACACGTTCTAATTTATGACTGTCTGTACCCCCCCATCGTATTCCGCCGCAGATGAAATAGTCTCTGATCAGCGTTTAATCTGTAGGACTGGACCTGATGTCCAGGACGTTGAGACGATATTCAATTAGAACAGCGTGAGGCCTGTACGATGGATAATCGAATTGTAGAGCTAAAACGCTGACGTGGCCACGAATTTGCAATGTTAATGCATTACGAGCATTTCACGTAGAACAGGTAGCATCGATTTTCTGACGCCCACTACTCTAATTTTCAACAATTCAACAACATCCGATTTCCAATAATAATAAAAACATTAACATCTTATTCAACATGGAAAATGAATTTATATTATATTTATTTATTACTGAAAATAATGCATTTTATTTTAAAATTTAACATAAAAGAATAACATGCCATTTATTTTCCTGTCATATAAAGTTAAGTAAATTATTAAAATGTATTTAATAATACAACCTGAAATGTAAAGAGGCATAAGAACAATATGATATCGTACGATGGAGAGTCATTATTTAATTTTATTAATCGCCTTGAAAAGACATTTATATCTTTTTATTTCATTACTCTTAAAAATATGAAATTGTAAATTGTGTTTTTTTTTCACATTTTTGTAACATTCGTACAAAAAACGCTATTCTGAAAGAATTAAATGTCTACGTTGTCTAGTTTTCTAAAATTTATGCCATGCTCGAACGATACTCACGTCTTGGATTTTTTGGATATCTTGCGGATACGACAAAACCTTTTCCACGTAGAGGTACTCTATATTGGAGAACTGCAGCGTTTTGCGAACTGGTAAAAATTTTCTTGTACCACCTGTTTTTACCACAGAACTCGTTCATTCTTTCTTTCATCGATAATGAATGGTCGTTCTCGCTTGGAAATATTTCGCCATTCAATTCCCAACCGTCGATTACCTTTCAAATAACAATTAATTAAAGATTTACGCTTCCTCATTATACAATTATTATTATTTAATCATTCAAATAGGAGTGCATCTTTTTATTTATTTTTTTTTAAATCCTTTTTAACGTACTACAATATAAAATTTAAATAAATCTATGAATAAAGTTATCTTTTATTCTTATTACTTAAATATATACTTGTAAATATGATGTAAACATATAAAATTTTTTTTAAATAGTATTACAGTTGCAGTATAAAATATGGGCAAAATTGCGGAAAAAAAAAAAATAAGAATCATCAAACTCCATGGAACTTGAGTTACAATTCCAACTGTGGAAAATTAAATCTCGGTAAAGACCGGACGAATAAAAATTGCTTCTCGTGCTATTGGATACTTCTATACAATATCAGACTTTTGTGCATTCGCGGCATATGACATACACCGTTATCGTGGGATTATCCGGGTTTACCCTACAGGAGTTTTCCATTAATAGCAACAGGGAGAACGAGGGAGAACGAGCGAGAGTCGGGGAGAGACTTTGAGATTCGATTTTTGCCATGATAAAATTGACACATACTCTGCAACAATTCGTTTACGACGTCGTTGACGTTGTTACTCCTAAATGGCTTTCGGCATTTCATTGTTTCCATTGTTTCCGTTAACGATCAAGAACGAGTAACTCGCAGTTTCGCGGTAGGTATCTGCATTTTATGAAATAACGTATATATCTCTCTCTGTTCTGACTCGGGGAGATTCAAGATATATTTATGACATTTATAGGAATTTGATAACTTTCATAATTAATGAATTTCTGTCTACTATAACTTTGTGAGTGACTCCACAATATTTCTTCAAATTAGATATTTCATATTACTTCTTATTAACATTTTGCAAATATTTCTTAATCATGAAAATTTGTTTAATTAACAAACTTTGTATACGATTATAAAAAAGTGTTTATATATACGCAAAGAATTCTGTGAAATAAGTTTAGTCATTCTATAGTCTAATTTATCTCGAGAGCTTTTCAAGCACAAATTTTGATTAATTATTTCTATTTATTATTCCTTTTACTGCCATTATATAGGCAGTTAAAATTTAATTTCTATAAATTATTAAAAATAAAATTTTTCAACAGAAATAGATAAAAATAAGACTTGATTTGAATTGAGTAAATTGTCAATAATAATTAATACGTACTGCTAGAAGTCCACGATGATCGCATGGAACATCGAAGCTATGGAAATGTATTTCTATTACGCGATCGGGATCAGTTAAAAAATATATTCCACAAACGTTATCATCATTAGTTGACGATATATAAGAAAACGGCCCGCTTTCAGAAGTAACAAACATACAATCTGCAACAGAACATCAATAATTAAATTCTTTTGAATTATTGACTTTTGCAAAAGTTTTTCATTATTGTAATAAGAAATTATTTATTATTAATTAATTACTTAAATTTAGATTAAACATTTAATTCTAGTTTTTACTTGGGTAAAATCTAATTTAAATTGTTTGGTATGCGTAAATCACATTCGAACGCGATTCAGAATGCGTTCGTACGATTAGGTAGTTAATATTTTCTGTCATACTCAATGGAAATTGTACACTAATTCGGCTTCTGTTGCGGAAACTATCCCATCCATTAATGCGATTTTGTGCAATAACGCAATTACCGTATCAAGCGTCTCAATTACGAAGTTTACAAGCGTGCGGTGGACCTTTATTACAACCGAAATACTTGAATCTCATGCATAACCACTTTTAAACAATTTATTTTAGCGGATTATTAACAAATAATTTATTACAATGGATGTAGAAAGTTTATATACATTATTTAACTAAAAAGTATTTTAAAGATAGATTTTTAAAGAAGTTTATATAATTATTGTTGATATGTTTCTTTAAAATCTAATTAATTCTTTTGTTAAAAAAGAAAGAAATACAGTATCTAATAAATTATACTCTTATTATATTTATTGCCGATAAAAGTATATTAAAACACATTTATACTGTCCTTAAATATTTTTATATAGGAATTGTGCGAGCCATCAAGAGCACCTGTCACCCGCACATTACTTTGAATTACGAAAATAAAATACCTGAAAGTAGAAATTGAGAATAAAAGAGCGTAGAATAGTCACTCTTTTATACGCGTAAATTACTTTCGAGCAATTATTAGGAAGAGAAATTACGTAATTTTACGTAATAGACTTTTATAACAGATACTGGACAATCCAATTCCTAGATTATCTCATCCACAAACTCATACCACTGGTAAACATTGCTACTAGTTTCAATTATACGAGTAAGCGCCGCGATGTTCGTTAAACATCAATAGTGATGGATATGCAAACATCCGTTGGCATAATGTAAGATTACAACGTGAAGATGACAAGAATAAAGTAATATTTTAAGCGGTCAATTTAGGCAAGCAATTACTCCGATGCGATACATATTCAGTTCTATAAATAATATAAAGTAAAAATTATTTTCCCTAAATTTTTATAATATATTAATCGCACTGAAAAAAAATTAAACAATATTTAAAATATTATTTGCGTATATATTATAACATAATATATCATTATTCGCTTACCTGTAACCGGTCGATAATGTTCACGTGGTATGTCAAATAAAGTCTTCGTTCCCGCTTCATAAGCCAAGATATTAGCAACTGCTTCATTCGTTATCTGAAAAAAGAAGAGACATAAATTATATAAATTATATATAAGTTAATCAATTTGTTAAAAAATATTTCTATTTTACATTAAATCCTATGTGTATCCACCACGTGGAAGGCAGCCGACGAATAGAAACAAAGAATAAATTGTCATCTATATTCGATCGCGCTATTGCAATATATCGCATATAATCGTTAAAACGCATATGATCGTTAAAAAAATTGTAGTATAAAATTCCCAATTTATTGCGCGACACTTGAATTGGAAATAAACCGAGATGTTCGTGAAACGCGTTTCTACATTAAACGAAACTTTGGCGTATCTATAATGCGCGTTCATGCATACATAAAAAGAGCGAACGAAAAGATAACGCAAATGTTATATGAATAGTTGTAGAAGGAAGTGACGAGACATTTGAGTAATGATATCATTAATAGTGATATTACACACGCAGAAGTCGGCCAGACTAATTTCAATCCGCGACACGTGCGACTCAGTTTTAATCTCATGGACATCTCACCTTTGCATATAGAGTATATTTTATTTGTACAAACAAAATACACAGCATACGACACAGGCTTGTGATTTTATTACATTTTTAATATAACAATATTAGATTAACCATGAAGCTTCGATCGAAAATATTCTTTATAAATGTACAATTTCATATCTGTTGCATAATAAAGCAATTTGAGTTATATTAAACGCATTTTGTTATAATCATAAATTGAGAAGCTCTTATCACGTATGTATCAAAAAAACTTGATATTTTTCCTTTAGCAAGTCAATATACAGAAAGTTTCGCGTAATATAACAGTTGAAGTTTGTTAAAGTCCAATTTATATGCGCTTTTTTTCACATTACTCGCCTTTTCCTCGCGTCGAGCATTCAAGCAAATTTATATGCTTTATATTACTTCGTAGTGCAGTCGATCATGTTGCTTTTATGTCGTTTCAAGACAGAATTTTGCTATGCTTCCTCGAATCTTTAAAACTCAATAAATAACAATTGTCTGATCGTTTGATCGTAATAATAAATTTTGGTTTAATTCTATATATGTGTTTTTTTTTTTTTACATTATTACTCTTAATGTACACATATACACATATAATACGTAAAGCGCTAACATGACGCGTACATTGTGTGTAACGCAATATTTACTTCAAAGTGCAAATAAATTTCTGCTCGATTAAATACACAACAGGCATGTAAATGAAGCCTCAAAAGCTAAGCAGAAATCAATGTTTCACTCACAAAGTATTCTATTTTCAACGCTATCCCGTTTCTATTAATTTGCGTATTTGCGTACCTCATTCCCAGAGGTTTCGCAAAATTATATCGGTAATATAATTTATGCACGCGCCATATAAAAGATAACTGCGAGAATCTGAACCGCATCGTTCGTTTTACATGATGCCGAGAGATGAAATCCAGTCCAGAGAAGCCGGCAAAAGAAGCGGCGTTTACAACTTGACGGCGTTACAGCTTGAACGGGACACCTCCTATAGCGTTTCTCGTTATTGCGTTCCGTTCGTTCGACATCTATCACTTCGCGCTAGGGAAAAAAATCAAATTGCGCAAATTGCAAATTTCTCCGCGCGTGTTAACCGCACTTTATAACGTACACGTGCGAAACGAAATATCCGTTATATTCAATTAACATTATTTCCCGACTGTCGCCAGCGGATGTGGGAGCCGCTGTGAAAATCGCGCCTCCACCTGTCAGATAAACCAGTCTTGAGAAATAATTGCCGAAGTGTCGCGTCTGAATAATGGCACCGGCGCGAATCGAATCGAGTAACGCAATAACGGGCGCGTTCGCCGGGCGCACCAAGTAACGATCACGCGTCGTTAATACGCGACACTCGAGGGCCGTTGGTACCATAGTAATATCAGTACCATAAAGGTATACACAAGGAATTGATATTGCAACAAAATGAAGTGTCAGTACTACGTGTCAGACTAATAATAGCTTTAATAAATAAGTTTATTATCTCGTTTTTGTTTTTGGCTGACATTAACATTGAGTACGTTTCTATAAAATTTCGTTATGGAAATTAAATGTCAAGTAATATGATAACGCAGATTAAAGAAAGAATTTTCTTGTTCCTGTAAACTTCTTTCTGTAGAAATTATGATAAAAATGCCCAAGAAATGTTGTTTTATCTATTATAAAACGCTGTAAGAAACTTCACTAATTAAGCTTTCGACTTTGACTCGTGGTGACTTAATGTTGCTTATTTATCTTTATCTTCTTATAAAAGTGATGAAAAGAAGTCCAAACCTTAATTAACCAAGAGTGACTTGTTTATGGGTAGAGAATCAAAACTCATTAAAAGTTGACAAACTTGACGTCACTTGTAACACAATTAAAAAATCTTGAAGTTCTTAGTTCTAGAAATACTATCCTCCAATTTACTTACTAACGTTATTCATTTATTACATTTTAATACCAATTTTATATTCTTAATTCTTTAATATTTAATTAAATTTTCTTTAATTTTATTAATATATTATATAAATATATAAATATTGTATTCTCAACATATTTACGAAAATATTATTATAAAATTTTAATTAAACTTATCATTTGATCATTGATCAAATTTAAATAGAAAAATACATCGAAAAATCGAAATTAATTAACTAATTTTTGGAAAGAAAATTTTTTTATTAATTATATAAAAGGAACTTATGATAACTTTATCATATAGCGGTCTTCTTCTTATAAAAATGTAATGTTATTTTCATTGAGTCTGTTAGGCTAGAATGATTCTTAATTTAATTATTTATTTGATTTAGTTATTTGTAGTAGAAAAAAAAATAGAAAAACAAAAAATAATTAACTATATTAAACTACTATATTAAAAATTCTATTTATATTCAGAGAGTCTGAAGCGCGTTAATAAAAATAATCCTTTTTTAAATAAATCTTTTTTAATGACGATAACTGTGGTACATTTAATTAAATACTAATATTTTACTTATTATTTTTTAATGGCTTTAGATAATACATGACTTTAGATAATACATGTACATGAATAAGAATGATCATTTTAATGAATTTAAAATAACTGCAATTTATTCTCATTGCAAAATGTTCTAATATCATTCAGTCTAGTTACAAAGTTATTTTGTTTATTACACTTACAATTCAATCATCACTAATTCAAGAATTAATCTGAGA